TTCTTCTTCTCCTTCTTCTCCTCCTCCTCCTCCTCCTCCTCCTCCTGGGCCTCCTCCTCCTCCTCCTCCTCCTCCTCCTCCTTCTATCTGCTTACATACAGAAACTAACTTTATCTCTCCCAGATGGACATTTTACACTGTGCTCCTAGTTTCTGGGAAGGCTCCCCCGGGCACTCACAGTTCTCTTGCTTCAGCCAAAGTGGCTGCTGCTCCATAGGATCTCAGAAATTAGGATGGTGAGACATAAAGAGATTCCTGCAGAACTACCCCCATTTATCATATCCATACAGACTTCCAATACCACCCATTTGCTGAATTACAGCTAGAAATCATTGGTTTACCTATCACTCAAAGTTAAGAATGCCATATCTGGATTGCCAAAATAGAAGTGATCTGAAGGTGTCAGCAACAAGATTAAGGGCTCAAATTCTCTACTGACATCTTGGTGGTCATCCAATTTTTTGCATCCCAGATATGGTAGAAGCTAGAATGGCAACAAAGGTCATCTTACTGATTAGAATTAGAATAGAATAGAGCCGGAAGGCACCTTAGAGGTCTTCTAGTCCAACCTCCTGCTCAAGCAGGAGGTCCTTTGTCATTTCAGACAAGTGGCTGTCCAGTCTCTTCTTAAAAACCTCCAGTGTTGGAGCAGCCATAATGTTTGAAGGGAAGATGTTCCACTGGTTAATTGTCCTCACTGTTCGGAAGATTTTCCTCAATTCCAGGTTGCTTTTCTCCTTGATTAGTTTCCATCCATTGTTTCTTGCCCTGCCTTCAGGTGCTTTGGATAATAAATTCACCCCCTCCTCTTTGGGGCAGCCTGTCAAATACTGGAATACTGCTCTCATGTCCCCCCTGGTCCTTCTTTCCTCTACACTGGCCATACCCAATTCCTGCAACTATTTTTCATATATTTTTGTCTCCAGGTCTTTAATAAGTTGTTCTTCTCTACACTTTTTCCAAAGTCTCAACAAGAAGAGAGGAAAGGAGAGAAGAGAATGAGGTCCCTTTTCCTGTAATCCTCCCACATACTTTACTTCTTCAATTTCAACAGATTAGAAATTCTCATCAACGTATTTCATATTAGATTTATGTTCACCTAATATTAAAGTGTGTTTTAGTCCCAAAGAAAGTGATTCTCATCATCATGACGGATAATAATACCCTATCGATTCCTAAAAATATTTTTTGCTCCACTTCATTTTAGCAAAGTACAATTTGTGCAAGTTAGTAATCTGTGTTGTTTCCATAATGATTCATGAAATTCAGTATGTCATTATGGCTTCTATCAGGGCACAATCCCCTTTGCTGGAAGTTTTTGAGCAGTGGCTAACTGACTAAGATGTTGAGACTCTAGAAAGCATGCAGAGAAGTGCAACCAGGATGATTAGGGGAGTGGAGGCTCAAACATACAATGAACGGTTGCAGGAACTGGGCATGGCTAGTCTAGTGAAGAGAAGGACCAGGGGTAACAGAATAATAGTCTTCCAATATTTGAAGGACTGCCACAGAGAGGAAAGGGTCAAGCTATTCTCCAAGGCCCCTGAAGGCCAGATAAGGAATAATGGATGGAAACTGATCAAGGAGAAATTCAACCTAGAAATTAGGAGGAATTTTCTGACAGGGAGAACAACCCACCCATGGAACAGAAGCTGCCTTCAGAAGTTGTGCAAGCGACATCTCTGGAAGCTTTCAAGAAGATATCGGATATCTGTCAAAAATGGCATAGGGTCTGCAGCTTGGGTGGGGGGTTGGACTAGATGACCTACAAGATCTCTTCCAACTCTGTTAATCTGTTAACCACCTGTTTGGGATACTTTGTTTTTTATTTGCTACCTTGAGCAACAGTGGGTCTTTCTCACCTTATGGGACCCTTCCAAATGATGGATTCTGGGATTGCATAACTAATTTTATGTAGTAATCCTTCCTTTCTTTTGTGAAGCTTTCCATGCATTGTTTTTTTTTTTTTAATGTCTTCAATATGGAACAGGACATCCTCCTCATGGTATATGCTCTAAGTCAACCATATAAGATTTCTAATCCTGTTTTTGTTCCATCTGCCTGTGTACATACTGTTACTGTGTGGACAGATAATGTACACAAAGAATGTGCATTTTATAGTCAGTTGTCCAGAGAAGAGTTTGGATAGGCCTCAAAAATTACATGGCATATATCCTCATGAATGAATTAGATCGTCTTATGGAAACCTTAGATGTGCAAACAATTTCCAGGAGAAAGAATTACATTCTCTCTCTCCTTTGGTCTACTGTATTGTCCAAGAACATGGTTTATTTATTTTTTACATATTATATATATATCTTATTTCTTAAAGAAAATCAGTTTTGACAGATGATTATTCTATAAAATCTTTTTCCGTAATGGAACAAATATGTAAACAAAACAGAGGGGACGGGTTAAGAAAGAATACAAGACAACAATTGTATTGACATACACTATAAATTGAAATGTTTCACTGTTCCTCAGTATTTAGACCTGAAGTGAAAAGGGTAAGTTGAAATCCTTCATTCAAAGCTACAACCTCTATCTAGTTTGTTGTGAATGGGGTCCTAACAGTTTAGGACTTTCTTTTGAGTAGATATCTATGGCATTCGATGGTACGTTTTAGAATTCCACAAAGATGCATGCCATTTTTAAAATTAATACATCGTGCAATAATAGTAATTAATAGTCTGTTGTGCTGACTTAATTGGAATTGGAATTGAAAAGGGGGAGAAGGGCAATTTTAAAGTAATTTAAATATATAATTTTGGAATAAAGAAAGGTAGCCCTATGTTGTCATTTAGATATGTCCATCTTTTAATTTATCAATTTGAAGAAAACGCTGTTGAGAGTTTCATAACTACCAGTAGAATAAAGAGATGCAAATAATATGACTGGTTTAAAAAGGGAGGAAGTATCAAATATTTTCTAAATAAATGATAACAAAATGATTTCCAAGGGTCTCCTTTACTGCTGCAGATTGCAATTGTTAAATTTGTGTCGATTACCAAGTAAAATAAAACACAATGAGGCCATTTCTCTATAAAAAAAAAACATTTTAATGTTTGCTGGGATGGCCAAATAGACTGCTTTCATTAGGAATAATGCTTTTTGTGGAAAACAGAAAAGAAAAATGAAATTTTGATATACAGCTTTGAGGATTAGACTAAAAGTAAAAGACCACAGGAAAAACAAAAGCTTTACTATAACCAAAGGGTAAGAGGTTAGCTGATATACTGCTATCAAAGAAAATTGGAAATCACTTCTTTATAATCCTTTTGTTCCTGTTCTTCAATTTCTCCATTTTTGTTTTTGCTCTTTTCTTCCCTGGTTTTTTCCTCATTTTCCATTTTAAGGATTAGTTCTGATTAGTTTTTATTCTGTATTCACAATTTTAACAAACATTTTTTTAAAGAAGAAGAAGATGTTCACATATTGCTTGAATCATCATAATGGACTAGCTTTGACACGTTCCTATTGTGGTATGATAAAAGTTTGAACTGGGGGAACTTAATATATGAAAATCATCTGGGGAACTAATTTTGATTCCCTAAACTCGACCAGGTGTGGCTACCACTTGGTTAGGCACAGGAAAGTGAAAAAGGCAAAGGGAATCCACTTCCATCATTTTGCTACATGAATGTGTTTTTGAAGTCACCAGGAGTTGAGTTTAACCTGAAGAAGATCTGATCTTCCCATAGTGAAGTGGTATAACTTTCTGAGACATGGAGATGCGCCATAATGCGATGTTATGGATCTTCATCAGCCAAAATGAAGATTGTTAATATGCACTTATGCTTTCCATAAATACTCTTTCCAGCGTCAAATTGTTCACAGAAGTACAAGTAGCTGTTTTCATCATAAAAGTGAAAAACTGAGGTATGGATTATGAAGGAAACCTTGTTTGATGCACTGAGGGAGAAATGCTGCAACTCTGGCTGATGTTTTTTTTTTTTTTAACTGACTCCTTAGCCTATATTTTACTTTGCACCACTCACCACACCAACATTATTGATCACCATGCCATTCCCTAATTTAAATAACCTGCTCATTATATGTATGCTTAAGTCTCTTCAACCCTTTTTTTTTTAATTCATCGTAAAGCATTTTGGAAATAAAAGATTATTTGGATGTAAGGCCATCTGGTGAAAATACTTTTTTCTTCCTTTAGTTGGTTGGGAAAGGATGCTGTCCTCCCAGCTGGTTCAGATCCTTGCTTTAGCAGCTGCTTTGCTGATAGAAGCTCATGCGCAGATAAAATGTCCAGGTAA